TCTCTCTCTCTCTCTCTCTCTCTCTCTCTCTCTCTCTCTCTCTTCTCTCTCTCTCTCTCTTTCTCTCTCTCTCTCTCTCAGGTATCCCCGCTCGGCGGCTAAGGCGGTTAAGTCTTGCGCCCGCCGCCACGCCATTTCCAGGGGAGGCGGGGACTCGTGCCCGTTCCCGGTGCACGCCGGCGACATCACCCGCGTCGTCGCGACCCTGCTGAGCCTGCAACAGCCTTCCCCCGCGTCCGGTGAACCGGCTGGGGCGGACGCCAAGAGGGGCGGCGGCGGCGCTGCTGCTGCGCCAGCGGAATCAGGAGACGCGCGTGCGCTTAGGCTGGCCGCGCTCCCGTCGTGGCGGTTGCTGGATGCCCCGAACGCCGTTCAGGAAGCGTTTTCCTGCGGCGTGCTGGTGATGGAAAAGGCGCAGGCTGCGGGGGGGGTTGGAGGCGGCGGCGGCGGCGGCGGGCGGAGCCATCACCACATGCGGGTGAGATACGTCATCGTCGGGGGTGCATTGTGTTGGTGGAGCGATCACACGAGCGTTGAGAGTGTTGAGGATGCCTTGACCTGGGGATGATGCTTGTTTGGACGTACACGACCTTGTGCTGTCTTGCTGTCGGCTCCTCGTGGTATGTATGCATGGGTTCGCATGGGTTCGCCTGGGTTCGCTCTTTGGGCAGTTGCAGCGTAGCAGCGTCGGGATGAAATCAGATCCCCAGTGAATTCCAATGAGTGTCGGCCACATGTGCTGCGGTATATCATCATAACTCACGGAGCCCCCTCCCTCCCTCCCTCCCTCCCTCCCTCCCCATGCCCAGTACGAAGAAAGCCTTCTCGAGATGAGACGGGTGCTGCACGCCTGCATACTGCACGCTCCCAGCAGCGTCGAGGGGTTCTGGGCCGCCGCCGCCGTCGAAGGAGGAGTGTGGCCTGACCCAGGGGACATGATTCCCTCGGCCCCTGATGTGACAGGGGGCGCGAACGGGGATCACAAGAATCATGAACCGGTCGCTCTGTCGAAACAATTGCGGCGGGTGTTGGGGCTGGCCGAGTTGGATCTCCGGCCTGAAGACCTGCCGCTTTTGGGAGGCATGTGAGACGGTTAGAGTGGAGCGCATTTCGCGAAGCATATGTAGTCGATGCGGTGAATGCTAGCCTGGAAGATTCGTGTAGACTATTTGTAGAAAGGTTGGGTGTGTTTCCGAGAGGCGTGCAGAATTCTTCCCCGAGCGACGTGTAGGCGTGTGATTTGCCTTTGCCACCAGTGTCTTGCGTGTGCGTGTGGACCGGGCGGTACAGGAGCGCCAGCCGAGCGTCGCGTAATGTGGTGTGTCAAAGCTCTGCCTGTGGACTCGCAGGAGATAGTTTGGAGCGCGATCGGTTTTTCACCGGCCTTTTCGGCTTTTGGTGATGGAAGAATTTTTTTTCTTGTTGTGCGATTCCTGTCTTCCCTCGCGGAGCACGAAGAGTCCCCGTCCTAGTGTTACGGTACGTAAATCTATCGGGCCCGGGACTCGCATCTCCCCGAGACGGCTGACTTGTTTCGCTGCAGACGGAGGAGGGAGAACTGTAACGCCAGGTACCTTTTTCGGGTCACCGCATGTGTATGTGTGCATATGCATACCNGTGTATGTGTGCATATGCATACCTCCCCCCCCCCTACCCTTGTGTCGTCCCTCTGCTACCCGGCTTCGTGACCGTTCCTCTGCTCCCCTTGTTGACGAGACGGAGGCTACCCCGCGAAAGCTCAAAGCTTGCCTTGCTTGGCTTCTGCTTTTCGGCCTCACTCTATTTGTAAAAAAATGCAGGGCGACTTTGGGGCCAACCGGAGCCCCCTCCCCGGGCAAAAAAAGCGCCTCTTTTGGCGAGACCTCCGTGGACGACCGGGTGGACTGGTCGAGAGGCCGGTCGGTTTCGTCATCGTCGGGGATGGACGTTGCCGCGGTTCCCGCCACCGGCAGTAGCAGCAGCAGCAGCGATTGGTTGCTGGCGGGAGAGACGGCGCGAGCGGGGATGATCGAGAGCGTGGCGGCGGAGAACAGCGGCCGGCCAGGGGGCACGAGGGTGGTGGACGACGGAGTGTTCCAAGCTCGCCTGCTTTGTCCGTCACAGGTTTGTTTGTGTGTATGTGTGTGTTGTTATTATTAGCATCGACCGCGCTAACCGGCTGACCAATGAAAAGACGTCACTGTGTGTGTGTGTTTGTGGTTTCGTGACCGTCATTGATCCTTCGAGGGGAAGTTGCTGAGACGCAGAAGCAGGTGCCGTGTTTTTTCTTATGCTGCGTGTCGAGTTTTCTTTTTGTTGTTGCTTGTTTTTTGCCGGGCAGAGCGTTTTCTTGCTCAGACACGTTGCCGCGGCGGCGTGAACGTCGGCACCAGCGGCCTAAACGCCAGGCTGTCTCTGTGCAACCTTTCGCTTTTCCGTCGGTCGAATCGGCGAGCTTGCGCTTCCCCTGAACACAACAAGCAGTGTGTTTTCAAACACAAGCCAGGCATACCCTCCCATTGCACAAATTCACCAACACGCCTTCGCCCGTTTTTCTTTTTCCACTGCGTACATGATGCATGCACGCACGTGTCCGGCATCATCACCATCTCGCTCAGATTCTGTCTGCCGCGGAAGCACGAGCGCTCGCAAATCACCTCCCCGCCACCGTCGCCTCGAGCGACTGGGTCAGCCTCTACTCGAACGCGCGGCACGGAGCTTCTCTCAAGACCCTCCTCGCGCGGTGCGCCGGCTGGCAGCCGACATACGTGGTCATCGAGGCGCGAGTCACGGGGCCCCCGGGGAGCCGCAGCGGCGACGGTAAGACCTCCTCCTCCTCGTCTTTGCCCGCGGGAGAAGCGGGCGGTGACTCCGGCATCGAAGGCGGCGTGGCGGCGGCATCGAAGGTGGAAGGACCTAGCGTTGCCGTCCCAGGAGAGGAGGAGAAGCACGCGGCAGCGGCGGAGGGGACGGTTGTGTTCGGCGGCTTCGCGTCCGGGTCTCCCTGGAAGGACATGGGCCGAGCCTTCGCCGGAGATGGCGGGTGTTTTCTGTTCGCCTTCGACAGGAACGACGCCTCGGCGGGGGGCGAAACGCCTATCGGGATGGAAACCCCGGGGGCCGCTGGTGGGGGAGCGGCATTGCGCGTGTACCCGTGGGTGGGGTCGGACCGGTGCTTCATGACGTCCGACGCTGCGGTCGGGTTGGGCATGGGCGGCGGGGGAGACGGGGGCAACTTCGGCTTCCTCTTGAACGCGGACCTAGGGAGCGGGAGCACCGGCCCGTGCGGCACGTTCGGTAACCCTGGCCTGGCGGCGCCGAGCGGACGTGGCGCTGCTGAGAGTTCCTCCTCCTCGGGGGGAGTTTTTGAGGTGGTTTCGGTAGAGGTGTGGGGGTTTCAGGCCTTGAAAGGTCGAGGTGACGATGACGGGCTGACGCGGATTGCTTTGTGAAGCCAGCCGGAGTCGGCGTTGGAGCTGACTAAGACCCGCAATGGTGCGTCGGACTTGTCTGGCAATGAACTTCAGTCAGTGTATTGTCGTGGTCGTCGCCGTTGTGGAAAAGTCTGGAGGGAGTTGGGCCCAGCGAGGGCATGACGTAGTCACCTTCATTTTGCTCGTTTTTGGCGGAAATGATTTCCACATGCAGGCGTGATTTACCCCCTATTTCTATTACCTTGTACCCTTTTTTGTCGACTCAAGCTAGCCGGGCATGGACTCTGTTGCCCACCCGTGTGAATCCGCTGTTGCGGTGCCCCCTTTCTTAGAAACGCCTCCTGTATATTGTTTCCCACCACCAGTTGCTCAGGCTGTAGTTGGGCGATGCCCTTCGTGCGGTGCGCCCACCTATCACTTTGTGTCTGTTCGAACAGCAGCAGCATCGACGACGGTTCGATGGTATTTTTTTTTTTGCCAGATTTCCAATGCACATGCATCCGATGATATACTATATGCGGGTTTCACCATGTGCATGCGTAGTGTGTCCACGGGAGTGTCAAGAGCCACACGAATACTTGACCGACCCCTGTTGGAGCTGTCCCATTGCGTGTCTCGGCACGTGTCTTTTTGTAACAACATTTCATGTGACGACGCATTTTGTGCAAGGATGTCTTTGTTGAGGGGGCGGAACATGTTGGCGCTTGGCGTTCTCCGCACTCATGTCTGCAAGTAGCATGACAAACGGCGGTGCTTTTTGGAAGAAACGTGATGTTGCGCGGTATTGTAGAAACAATATTTTGTCAGGAAAACATGCGTCGCTTTGATGGCGTAGGGGGGGTGTTATACGACACGCACGCGTTGTTTGGCCTCAGTCGAATGTGGTGCTCTCCCCATGTCGGAACAAGAAGAATCTCGGAAATTTCTTGCGGTTTCTGGGCAAAACCCGGAACAATCGCGCCGCAGGCGACACGCACGCGTGTTCATAGTTTCAGGGAGTGTGAGTTTTGTGGACTGCGAAGGGAAAATGGAAGGCGAAAAAGGGAGCAGGACACAGACTTACGTGTCCGTGCGGAGCTTCGCGTCGTTTTTTTTCTTTTTCGGCGTGGATTTCACGTCACACATGTCTCCGAGGGGGAGGGGCTGTACCTTACGTGTGTCGTCGTGTACCAGTGTGCTGCTGCAGTGGTAGCGATCTCAATTGCATTAGTCTGGAAGCGTACATGATGAGCAACACTGCGCAAAGAAGGGGAAAGTGTTGATTTGGTACATGCGGGTGACACGCTGGACAAGGACCCCCAGCCGCCGCTTCAGCACCAGGGTAGGGCTCCATCCCAAACAGAAAATTCTGTCGGCGAGACTACAACCGCCATCATGGTCCATATCCCGAAAGTTATCTAGCGTTACAATTTGACGCACGGCGCCCAGTCCGGGCTCTCTCTCTCCCCCTCTCCCGCAGCTACCTAGCCGACCACACCAACCCGAGCAACCACCCACCCACCCACCCACACTTAAAAAGGTTTTAGCCTGTTTCAACGAAAACGCATCTATTCCACACAAACAACCAGCGCGGTTGGAGCAGGAGTGAAACATCCACGAGTCACGTGCAAGTGCTTCGGTCCATAAATAAACAAAAATCGCGACGATGGAATTTAATTATCTCGCCGCTAAATCGCACACACGCAGGCTTGTTATCATAGCAACGCACGCGACTACCCCCCACCATGAGAATAAATATAACGGCCAACACAAGCTGTGGACAAAAACAACCAAGGCCCATATAACGGCGTTTATATTTGCCTTCGGGAACGTGAATAAACCGCCAAGCGGTAGCCCTTTCGGTAGCAGGAGCCGGCCGAAGCTCTTCCTGCCATGTTGCCAGAGAAGCACGCGGAGTTTGGTGCACCCTTCCACCCACCCCTTGGTACCCAAGCACGCAAAACCCACCCCCGAGCCAAAGCGAACTAAAACCCTTTGTACTATCTCCCGAGGTAATTTGTCGTAAATTGGCAAAAAAACTTTGTTTTCATGACTAGATGCCAGATGATGACACTCCCCAGAATCGACACCAGCTGCAGCGAAGTCAACGTCAGGCTGGGTGCGCTGCGACAGGTCTACTTCGTACACGGACCCGATGAGCAAACAGTCCGCCGTAGGCACCTACCTCCGAAAAAAGCCTGGATACAACCGACAGCAACGCGGTAACCCTTCAAGACACGGGGCACAAGACCTTACCCATCTCTTCTCCGTAGCAGCATGGGCAGAGGTAAAGAGGCACCGCACCACCGGCCAGTGACCCTGCTGCGTGCAAAGCACTAGCGTGGGCAGAGAGTGAGAAGAGAGAGCGAGAGCAACAAACAATGAGGCGTCGCTCGTTGCTGGCGAAACAAAGAAAAACAAAGACAGACTAGCAACTAGCGAAGACAGACAGACAGACAGACAGACAGACAGACAGACAGACAGCCCGGTCCCCCCAACAGAGGAACATCCCGTGAAAAAAACCAACACCCGCCGCCTACCAAACCCGCTCTTCCAGCACAGTGTACAGTACAACCCGATGCCCACGGGAAGGACACGCGCTATTAATACCTATCTAGGTGCTGGGGCCGAGGGGGGTCCCGCAACGAACAAACAACACCAGACATATCAACATGGGAGGAGGGGGCAACGTTGGTCCACCGAACCCCCCGCGCCCCGACAAGGCTTCAGGAAAGAACAAAGACTACACTATACAAGAAGACAATCGACATTAGTCCCAGTGCTTTCCGATAGGCACCTTGCTTCCTCTCCAACGACGGCAACGTCACCCCCCCGACCGCACGTCGCATCACC